CTAAACGGGCAGTTGGACGTCCCCCAAGGAGTCCCTGATTGGAGAGGGTGCAGGCTGGGCTGAGGCGACACCCACCCATGCACAATATCATGCATTGGGCCTCTAGTTTAATAGAAATAAGTAACTTACTCCAAGGAGAACTCTCTGACACACGTGCACCCCCAGGGCGGCCCGGCTTCTGCTTGCTGGAGGCGGAGGTGGGGCCCTGCCTCGCCCTCTTGAAGCGCTACTTCTACAACCACCTCTCCGGGCGCTGCGAGGAGTTCATGTATGGAGGCTGCCAGGGGAACCCAAACAACTTCGAGACCGAGGCAGAATGCCAGCGCTCCTGTGGGCACCCAGGTGCGTCTGCGCTCCTCTCCCTTCACTGTGTTTCCTGGCGTTTCAAACATAAGGCGTCCTGAGGACAGGTGTGCCTGGCCTGTGGGTTCCCAGACCAGTGGGATGCATTCGTTTCCCCTGAATCTGATAGGAACTAGTCAGGATGTGAAAGAAATGTGTTAACCCCTTCCCCAACAATTTTTTTGTTAAAAACGTTTCTTTTTCAGACTAATTTTTTTATTTTGGTTCTATATAGTATTTTTGATGCTGGTTATGAAAACAGTTTGTAATTATTTTTTCTTCCTATTTTTGTGGTAAAGAATAGCATTTCCTCAGAAAGTTTCTTGATGAAATTATTTAGAATGGTACGTATGTAGCTGGTTTTTGAAGGTAAAATTTTAGACGAGTATACGCGTCGACAACTGAAAAAAGAACATTTTGTGAAAACGTGTATACACGTTTCTGCCGGGGAAGGGATTAAAGCACAGATACGCAACAAGCCAGACTTCAGGGCCATGGCTTCCCTAGATGGACATTCCATTTTTCATTCTCCGTTATTTCGTTTTCTTTCCTGAGAACACCGTTGTCTCTGAGGGGCGAGGGCAGGGCTCTGAACTCCTGACCTTCGCGGCCATTTCAGGACAGAGACCTTCCACCTTGAAAATCGATCGTTTGATGTGCCCATGACACGCAGGTTACAACAGAAGCGGGATGGACGTTAGAACTGTGCTTTTAAGCAATTATACCAGCTTTCAGACTCTCGATTCTGTCAGCACTTTGCCCGTTGTCCCGGGAGAGGGCGCGGTGAGCTTCATCACGTCTCTCAGTCACTCAGCTCTGTCGCTCGCCCAGCGGCACCCCTGCCCCTCGCCCCGCCTGGCTGTTTGTTCCGACACCAGCCCCCACGTGTGGGCCTCAACACCCGTGTCATCCAAACCGGAACATTCACGGGAACGAAAGGAGATGCTCCAAGATGTGACTTATCTATTTTAAACATGTATGTGCTGACAGGAAAGTGGCTTTGCAATTGGATGTGTAAATTAGTTTTATCAAAACAATCTTTCAACATGTTGGGACACGATATACAAAAAAAAAAAGCAATAGATCTCACACAGGCTCAGAAATCCAG